GATTCTATTAAGAGCTGTGAGTTTTGTAAGGTAGGGTGTACGAATGTAGGCTGGTACTGCTAAATGGATGCTTTTAAGATTGAAGGAATTAGTTTAGTCGTGCAGGGTCGTGCCAAACAAATATGGATCTAACTTGAGACATCAGTCTACCAAGGCTTCGATCGGAAAACTGGGTGATATATTTCTCACAGAAAAAAGCATCTTAAATTTGTGCATGGTCACAATAAAGTTAACAAACTCATGTCATTAGTAGAAGAGTAGTAATCGCCGGGTTTCTTAGTAAGCGTCTCTAACAGATCAAGATAGAGTAATTAAAAAAATAACGTAACTCCGGACATTTAGTGCATTTTACCTGCGCTCAGGAGCAACAATTGATTATTGCCGTGCAGCGTGAGGGCCCTAAACCGCCAAGATGTAGGCTTCGTATAAGAATAAAGTGCTTAATTCAGAAGGAGGCTGAGCGTCATCTGGTACACCTGGCATGTTTCAGCGCTTTTATATTCGAAAAAAGTCGAAAGCTAATGAAATTCCGCATTTTCCCCTCCTTCCAAATAAGCTTTCCCAACAATGCACTTCTCGTAAAGACCATGAAAATAGTTGTTAAGTCGGTGGTGGGCCAGCAGCCACAAGGCTGGCTGTCAGATTCCTTCACTTAAGTCCTAAATTCCACATATGCATTAGTTTTCAGTGTGAATTCTGATGCCCTGAAACTTTATTGTGTTGCATTGTTACCCGTTCGCTCGGTGAGCTAGCTAGCCGGGAGTTTGTTCAAGGCTAAGCGGTCAAAATAATTGTTAAATAATAAGAACGAACTCAGTAAGTGACATTTCTGTGTGGCCTGAATAGGTTCTTCATTTCCTGTGAAGCACTGTCCAGACTTTCTTGACGGGAGTCCATCAAGAAAGGTTTTGCATAGCAGTACATGGCTGGTTGTATTGGAAAGCTGAACAGGTTAGCGGGCCTCGTGGTAGCTTTTGAGCTAATGGACAGATGAAGCATTTCAGAAAAAAGCACCTGAAGTAATAATTGGGACCTTCGAAGCGAAATACAAAAAAGGTTGCAAGGTCAAATCTTTTCAATACGTTTTTGTCTGCTCTAAAAGCAAGTAAACCAGGTTGGTCAGATACAAGCAGCGATTAGGATTTTGGTCCCTGGGTAAACAGTGGATTTTCGAAAAGAGTTATTTCGAATTACTAGGGGCAGAACAAAACTGAAATACGTGCATCAGATTAACTGGATAAAGCATAAAAGCACTACTTCAAGATTCAGAATAGCAACGCTAAGAGAGGGATTTTTGAAGGAAGATTAGGGCTATAACGCTTCATGACGCACATGATATGTGAATTTACCTAGCAGGCCAATGAATTCAAACGATCTCGTGAGGAACTCATGTGTCACAACAATGAGGTCTGATGAGGTCTGGATCAAGCGGCACAGTCAGAGTGCGTGAGCATGAGGAAAATGCATCTGTCTTGCCCACTCAATAGTGCGGACACCTGGTGTCATACTAGAAGATTTATACGTTAATGTACAACTCCCTCGCAGCTGTAAAGTAAAGGGGGTCAGTTGTGAGCTCTCAATACACGCATATTTGAGTGGACTCTTGGGATAGTTTTTCTTATCTAGAATGTAATCTCAAAGTTGCTGAATACATACACAGTTCTTCATCATATTACACCGTATCTCTTCTTGTCCAGATAGTTATTTTCAAGCACAAAAAAGCAACGGATCTCCGTGTGCATTTTAAGTCAATGATTGTCTTGTTCCCATAAGTAGATGCCAGTCGCAAGTCGAATGTACCAGGACAAAATAACCTGAAAAGTGGCTGAGTTTAGAGCTTGAGGTTTGCATGCGACCGGAAAATGTAGTCAGTAAGAGTTTGTGCTTGGTAAACTTTCCACAAGGATAATCAAAAGGATCTTACACTTGACTCTTCATCAGATACCGTTAATACTTTACCAGATTACTCCCAGGAAGGAAGGGATGTTTCATGAAAGATGAAACGTCTTCCCGATTGCAACAATATTTAGATTCTGGAATACAAGATATTCCCGGAGGGACCGTGCACCAAAAGTGAAAACAACTTGCCTGATTCGTTTAAACGGCACTCCTTGTGCGTAACCAGAGTCCGAAGGCAAACTACATGGTTTGGTAGCTATGTCACAAAACCATTTCGCCAAATAGTTCTGTAACATAGCAACTGTTCTATTGAATGTCCTGCATTATGCACAGTTAACGGCATATTTGTATGATAGTTCTACGTAAACGGTGGTTTGCAAATGCGTTAGATCCTTCTCTTAGGAGAGAATCTGAAGGGCCTATCAGGAAACAGAGGCCTAATAGATATCAACGCTCCCCACTGTAATACAAATTGCGGGCAGTACATAGCTGCCACCCGAATCTGTTAACACCCTAGTCAATTGGGAGATTTTTTAATTTGGTACACTATACCATGACATACGGCGTTGACCGTATGAAAAGATTTCTTAGTGGGTCGAAATATCAGGTTTTAATTTTTGTTTGTTTCAGTTGCATGAACGTTTGACTAGATTTTCAGTTTAACGTAAAGTGTACTGAAAGTTCGACGGAGCATCGGTCAGCGCACACAGAAGTATCGGGAAGTTTAGAGTAACTTAATCCAAAGGGAGTCTATTCGTTGCGCTATTTTATCGGCAGCAGCAATGCTTACGGCTGGTTTCTTCAGAACAGGTACGAACGAGTCCTTCCTCCGTGAGATCAAAAGGCTACATTTTTTTCAGTTTTCCCCTACAAAGGCCTCCTTGTAGTGAATCCTAGGACCAGTTGGTAACATGAAGTACAGTGTCAGACACCTGTTTATTTCACTCAAAACAGAACGGTCTTTTTAGGCTTTGAAAACTTTTTGTTCTCTTCAACTCTTAGCACGTACTTTCTGCCAGGAAGTTTTACCAGAGTTGGCAGTTTGGCTTAGATAATCGAAACGGTGTGGTGATTAAGTATGGTTAGCCCGGAGGGTTGTGGACTTGGTGCAATTAGGTTAAGTCATAATCATTTCTCTTTCTTGTACAACTGGTTAAAGTAAAGTGAAAAACCATGCTAGACGATAACTGAGTCATGCCAGTTGGAGAGTCTAAGCCTAAGAATTAAAGGAAAGTAGTTGGAAAAGGAACAGTTGCGAGGTTGTCTGACATCATCATGAAGGATGGAAATAAGCTCACTAAGAATTGAAATTAATAGATGGGAAAGAAAATTGTCTCCATCAAACAACCGGTTGTTGTGTCACGAAATTTCCTGTACCACAATGCTCTTCTGACAAAAAAATTCACCCTCAGTAAGATAAGGGAACATTTTTAGATCGTCTCGCATTTACTAAAACGATTCTGAATGTCTCGACCACTAAAATTCATAGGTATGTCTACTCTACGGTTGAATGGTTGACTTCATTTGCACTATTTCCCTGCCATCCCAGCAATACGGGCGACTTTGATCAATAAATCGACTTTAGATCACACCCACTGGCGTCTGTTGGGAAGCATTATGTTCTCTGTAGAATCCTTACAGAACAAAACTAAGAGATGGGAGATACTTATATACACACTGTTTCGGTCGTAGGCTTTGATGTATAATTTTTATTACGATCCGTCCATTATATGAAGGAAAATCCTTCATAGGAAAACCCCAACCCACGGTGAACAGGTGGCGTTCGGATAAGAAAGGGCCAGACAGTAAACTACTTGGGTCTACTTTTCATATACTGCCTACCACATCAGCACACTCAAAAATTGCAGTGAGATGGTGACAGTGGTAGGCCGATGACTGGTTTTTCTCTGGCAGAATACGCCTCGGATTTCGAACGAGCAAGATGGTGACATCCAACTGAAAGTAGCTAATTCCCCAGATTGATATGTGCAGTTGTTTGTAGCTTGAGCTGACTGTAAAGTTGCATGTTTTAGGCTGAATAACCTAGTGCGAACCGACTCCTATGGTAAATGGCAGTCCAAAAAGAAGTAGGGGGGAGCTGTTGAGGCTAGTAAAGGCTCAGAGATTGAATCTCAAGCGGTAATTAGATGAAAATGAATTAACGGCTCCATCTGACTCTGAATTGACTAACCTACGGCTCCAGTTTAAAAACTGACAGGTAACCTACATGCTCATGGAATGTATAATTCTGGGAACAAAATCGATATAATATCCAACTCTTGGAACAAGCTGCCCATGAATTAGTAGTACGCACTTTCAAATTAACTATTTAACAATAAGGCTCTGCGCATCTGAGGGCACTCAACATTTGAAGTGGTAGCAATGGATCGAATTCACGACAACTAACGAGATCATATTTGACAGCATGCCTGAAAAGAAACTACTCGTGATGAATATATACATATATTTACGTGCATCCACATGCACGTATAATGTGAATTGACGCCTAAACAGTTCGCTCAACTGAAACCACCTCAATCCAGACCCGTGAGCTTTCTTCTTGAAATCAAGGGAACAGGCGACATAGTGCACTCGTTCCTGTGAGGTGAAGAATTTTGCATACATTTCAAACAAGACTGTATAATATCAAAGCGCAGTAAGCATATACAATCGGTTTATTTAGCTCAGTCTGGACATAAAGGTTTTTATTTTAGAAACTGCCACGGTTGTAATTTTGAAGGTAGTAGTGAACAACAGCATGCTACATAACAGTCCGCTCTATACACACTCGCTCAGCCTAAAAATTGGTACAGTTTCTTTTCACTCAACTGCGATCAAAAGATGCAAACACAGCTGTCAAATGCTTAAGATGTTTAAGAAACCCGAGTTCCTGTGTCTTCGAAAATTCTGTGGAAACGGCTAACTCCGAACTTTTTAAGAATGAATGTACCAACTCATGTACTTTTCTCATGCTAGCTAAACTAGTTGTAAATCATTCTGTGTTTTAGAGTTTTCAGTCGTCATCTATTCACCCGTTGGTAATATTTTACACAGCAACCATCTATGTAGCGTTAGATAAATGACGTTTCCTGTATACTCACCTGCGAAATTCGTTTCAAAAGCTGGCTAGTAAGTAATCCGTTGGGTGAAACTGCTATCGAATTCGTCCAGTTAAATCGTTAGCAATGTAGATCACGTGATTTGGACTTAAATCAGCTGGGAATGGAACAGCGCCACAACACAGCCAACGAAAACCCAACATGACTTTGGTTGTCGCTGCCACCTATCGACCAATCGTGGATGCGAATGTGCACCGTCATGTGCATGGATATGTTCCCCTCCAGGGAATATGTGCCTTACCGGACTACCGCACCACAAACACATGTATGTGTGCCCATTGGGTATGTTCCCTACACCGTTAGGTTAAATGCAGACTTGGAGACTGTCTGAAACCGGAGTAATGCAAAAGCACAGAGGATGTCTGTTGAAGGTCGTCATTGTCGGGATCACGTTTCCGCTGCCTCTACATTTCCAGTGAAAGGAACTACAACAACGTGCCAATTAGGGTAGTCACATGATTTAACACAGGGTGAATAATGGGAATAAACAAAGACAGTCCGGTTCGCTGTGCCGTGTAACAGCGGTGGAGGTAACCATTAGGGAACATGCAAGACTGAATAAGTTTGCCAATTCCCATTCAGTGAACACCTAGTTTCACATAGAACTTCTCAGAATATAGAAAATCACCCTGTCAGGTACACCAGAGCAGATGCGCAATCAGACTATCAATCTTAGTACAATGTTGCAGTGTTCTCACATAAATTGCCCCTGCTGGACGGATGTGTAGTGCATGGAATAATTATGGGTTCACTTGATTTTTGGAGATATGGCCACCAGATGATGATACAGGAAGAAGATTCCACGGAAACGAAACGGCCAGAAAATTTTGTTCTACGTAAACTTGAGGAAAACGCTCAACAGAAGTCACGAGATTGTGTGAAATGAATACGAGGAAAATGTAGTTTTCAGCAATATGAACTGAAGCATACTAAAGCTACTGTACTATAGATAGTCCGCTTTGTTTAAAAAATAAAGCACACCGTCGCTAGGGAAATGAGAGAATAACAATAAATCTCCCAGCAGAAATCTGCAAAAATTGCTTTGTTGGTAAAAGTACTTCAGCCGTACAGTGCCCAGCTCCCAGTTGTTCTCTATGGGCTGATACGGATGCTCGTATCCAGGCGATGCACAAGAAAAGTCGAAAAAATGGTGGATAGTAAAGAGAGTATCTTCGTATGTTTCTAACTTGATTGAACAAATTCCAGATACTATGCTCGAATAGAGCGGTTCTTCAAAGAAGAAGGTTTATCACTTTCGAGTGGGCATTTTGAAGGTCTATAGGCATGGAGTGCGTCATCTACTACGGAAATTATAGTTAGCCTTTTCTGTCTAAATTGCTTAAATCTTATGTTATTTCGCTGTTTGCTCATTCCTGGTATTGAATGTTGCTGATGACAAAAGTGAGGTTGACGCCTTTGTCGGTACAACAAAACATACCTTATCTCAAGCTCATCACTGAAATCCTATACAAAAATAAAATGGCGAAACCAGCCGGATGCATATCATGTAGATCCAGATCATTTTTTCATTACAGTTGTATCATGCTTTTATACGCTACGTCGTATGATGACCATATACATTTTCAGCAAAAAACATTTATTCTTTTCCAGACTTTCGCAGGAGGGAACGTTTAAAAAATTATCATCTCTAGGTACCAATGGCCCACGTAATAGCATCATCGGTGTCACCTATCAGGAACTCTCTTAAGTTGCTCTAGTTGTTGTAACTCTTTTTTTAAATTTGATTAAATTAAATTTGCACATTGTTTTTTGGTGGTATGAGGGAATTCAGGATTGTTCAATACTGTGTAACCATTTTCTCCTCTTTGGGAATTATCAGTAATGCGGGTCCCACCAAACCTAATAGTTTCGAATCCGCGACTCCCAGGTTTATAGTGTGCGCATTCAACCGTGTGATTACGAGGGTCTGATCAGTAGCCTGATTAGCTCGCACTTAGAGGTGTAATGCCGAAATACACTCATTTACAAACTAATTTGTTTTTTTTCGAAAGACTGAAATGGAACCCAGCTGAATCTCTCAGTTTAGGTGTTTCTAGGCAACTGAATGTGCTGCACCAGGCCGCCTCATGTTTCGGTCGCTACGACATTCGAGATATCGCGATACATGTATATATTTGTAATGCACTACTCATAAGGTTGCTCAGGAGTTGCCAGCATACTTACGAGTAGTGCATTACAAAAATAAAGATGTCATGTCATTCATCTTCCAATCACGGAATCCGCATCATGTGTTCATGTGTTAACTTTCTCCCTAGGTGAGGACTTTTCAGATGGAAAATCTAATCATCGTTGCCAGATTAAAGTAAAAATTTGGAATATGTCCCGCCTTCCTCATTCGATTCTATACGTCACTGATAAGAGTTATCTTCCTCCGTTTTCGATATGGCGGGGATTACTGCCTGTCACACTTGACAAATTATGATGGAGATATCTCTGCAATCTAAAATCAACTTTTTCCCATAAATCGTTCCAAAACCGCCCTACTGATTAATGGGCATTCTTTCAAATTTATCTAATGGCTCTAGCCTCATCGTTAGAAACGACAGTTTTATTTACCTATAGAGACGTCTTTAATCCTGGACACTTTGTTGCAACACCAGATAATAAAGCAGGAATAGAGGGGCTGTTTCTTTTCTCCTATTTAAGCGTGATCATTTTGGTTTGCAGACCCAGCATTATCTCAGTATGCACATGCAGTCGTAAATTACCCTTTTCTGATTCGTTAAAAGCACCTGTTATTCAAGAAAATTTATTGATGCTTATTTCGAGTCTTCAGCGTTTCTTGCTACCGCAATCATGCCTAGTTTCATCAACCACTAATATTGGTGGCTTTTACAGTCGGAGAGTTCTCGTTACGTTATTAACGGAGATTTTTGTGCCTATTTTGTGCCTTTGGAATATCTATCTCTGAGGTTTATCGGAATAAACGAATGAGCCATACGTTGTCTACAGTTTGCATTTTCACGCTGTATCTCCCGTGAACGATCATCGAATTTCAACAGAATACACTCCCTTCAACGCAGAGTCTCTCATTATGCTTGCTTTTAGTGAATTATTGGATTATGAACCTTCCAAAGATCTATGTCCACAGAGAGAAATGTAGTGGTTTGCACTGACCTTAAAATTTTCGATATCGATACATTCTTCTTCCTTTTTTACTATCTCCTATTGCTTCAAGTGCAGCATTTTGGAAAATTTACACAATGCGGGATTCTTGCAGTCGGATCCTGAATGAATACTCTAATGAACCTCGTTACGGTGTTTCCATTCATTTCTCTATCCGGATGTTCATCAGCATCATTTCGAAAGTAATCTAAAGCCTGTTAAAGAAGATGCACTTCCAGTCAAGGAACATCTGGTCGTTTCTCATGAATTGGACATCTAATCGAAAACTCCAAGGGGCTGCATATACCAGCCCGTCAAGTATTATGTTTTATCAAGTCTTTTCCTCTCCCTTCACGTTTGATGGGCTTCATGAATGTAATCGTTTCAACATTATGGTGGTGTACAATATAGTAAGACTGATGACCCTCATGTTCCTTACAAAATCTTCCGTCCATGGTTGTTGTGTAAAAGTATATATTGTATGTACATTCACACAGTGAATTCGGGTGGCTTGTTTTGTATCCACCAGCCTACGGAGTTGGTTCTTTTTCCTATCAATTCAATACGGTTTAATATTATTTTGGTTTATACCTTTCGCCATACCAAAGCGAAATTTCAAGGAGGTTAAATGGGAAAGTAGAAGTTGAAAACACGGGATCAACCTAAAGAGTCTCAAGAACATTGAGACCGGATAGATGGATCATTCTCATGAAGGTTGTTAATGTTGCTGAGCCAAAACGAATCCTTCTTTCATTCCTTTAGAGGATTCATGTACGGTTGCTACACTTGGTGGAAATACCACTGCTTCCAAAGTCGCGTTACTTAAAGGGATCCGACAATGAGTTTATTTGTTTTCGAATGGACTCCTGCGCTAGCTCTCTCACCGAAGAATGGAATAGGTTTTTTGTGAACAAAAGAGCCTTGCTTCCTGGTGTTCTATTCGTAATTTTGTAAACCGTATATCCTGAGCTTCAGACTGTTCGCATGCGCCCTTTGGTTCCATCAACGGGCACACAGACGGTGCCGCTGACAGTCAACGCACCAACAAAATTACCCATAGTATTGCAAAGACAAGGAAACTCTCATCCACTGAGTGGGTTGATCTATAAAGTAGAATGTGTGCTTTATATAGAAGAAAGTGATTCATTGAAGTAGCAGTTCGACTCAGCAGAAGCTAAACAGAGTCGTCAATATAAAAACTAAGAATTCCTACGTAATACCGAAAACTCATGACATTTTGCGTTTGCCTGTGGCTGAATAATCATGCAGGCAACATTTTTAGAGTATCCTCAGGTCAGTGTTTGGCGATGAGTGGAGGGATAAAATATTCAGCACCTGTTTCACATAAAACGCTTTCTGGCAGGTAGCTGCATGTACTAGTGCGTCCCCATGGTCACAATGCTTGCGGCGAACATGTGGCAAAAAAAGGAACAAGCTATGCGTGAAACATAGAAAGATCCTCATTTCTATGCAGTGTAGGTACGGTGCAGAATAAACTGTCACTGATCTTAGCAGGCCCACACACCGTCTCGATGGATCAAAAAAACTTCCATGGTCATGTTTGCAAAACCAGTATTCTGCTGACCGAAGCAGGTAGTTCTGATGAGATCACAGTGAGTCACTCATTACTGCACGTTATACTTCTGGTTTCAGAATACCGACCGGCAAATAAGGAAGTGAGAATGCACAATAATTACATGAACTCTATACACTGAATGACAAAATTATCTGGACTAATTTTCTATTCAGAGAGCAAGTTGTCTGTCCTCAATGGAGTACCAGTTTCTTTGGATACATTCGGAACGTGTGCGGTTTCTGAAATAATACGGACTGTCATTGTCCTTTCTAGCTCCTGATACATCAGTAGAGGTTTGTTGGAAAACGACCTC